TTGTATACAAGAGAGAGTTCCTCCTCCAATACAGCATCCTCTCACTCCCTCCTCCTGACGCTCTTAGGGAGACGCTAGATATATTCACAACTCAGAAGTGAGACATTTAGCAAAGACATGTACACGTACCGCATACATTATATGTGTTTAATGACAAATTTCATGTGTTTATTTATTATTATTATTATTATTATTTCTTTTTTTTGTTTGTTTAGAGGCAACAAAGGTTTGGAGTTATTGAAAAAGGTACAACAAAAGTTACAATCTACACATTTCTATTACAATTATGATGTACATATACTGTTCATTTTATGGTCCAAAGCCTTTAGTAACTCTATAACAACATTCCACAATACTTGCTAAATTCTTTGTGGGAAACCCTAGCTGTCTTTGAATAATTAAGAAATACATGTATATCGAATAGTGAGAAAATTTTCAATGCCCAAGAATTTCACAAATTTGTCGGAAAATCTATTTTATGGTTCGATTCTCTTCCTTTTGGCCATGTTGAACCTTATTGAATTAAATCAATTTTTTGTGGATTCACTTTTCCTGAATTTTGAATAAATTACAAAATTTACGAAAATTTTTGGCCACGAAAATTTCTTGCTGTACAATACATATTGTACAATACAATACATATCTCCCTAGGGTCCTCCAGCCCACAGCTCCAGGAGGGTAGTGATCACTCATAATCCGAATAAAGCTGAGAAGGTGGAGCTGAGGAAGGCGGAGCAACGCTGGACGAGACAAGCAGCAAGAGGAGACGCTCCAGGTGGAGATAGCACTGACCCTGCCACTGAAGAACTGTTTAGGAAGTTCCAGGTAGAATACTGTACATACTGTATAACGCTTTATTTTGACGATTTTGCTGTAAAATTGTAATTGGTGGTTTTTAATTTGGTGATTTTTGTGTACACGTGCATTACTGAGCATGCGCATTAATGAGTGGCGGTTTTAATATTGGTGATTCTGCTTGCAAACCGCCAATCGCCAAAATAAAACTCTGCCAAATTAAAGCGTTATATAGTATGCACATCATACATGTACATGACGTTAAATCAATTATGTACATGTACAAAATGTACGTGCATGTACACGTTCCAATTAACCTCTCTCTCTCCCTCTCTCTCTCTCTCCCTCTCTCTCTCCCCCCT